GGGGAAGGGTACAGAGGATCTGAAGTAGGCTCTGAGCCGACAGCACTGAGCCCAATGCGAGGCTCAAACTCATGAACCATGAGATGATGTCCTGAGCTGAAGTCGGGCACTAAACCGACTGAGCCACCCATGTGCCCCTTACTGAATATTCTTAAAACCTTCTTGGGGTCAAGATCCATGGCTAGCACAATGCTTTGTACGAAAACTCAATAAATTTTGTAGATAGGTAATCTATCACACCTTCCTCCTTTTTTTAAGGTAGTAGTATGGTGGGATACCTCTGGACCAGGAACTGGATATTCTTGCTCTGCCACGGAGGAGCTGTAGTTTTGGGCCATTTACCCCAGTGCTGCCCAACAGAGCTTTCTGAGATAAGGGGAGTGTTCCAGACCTGTGCTGTTTAATCCCAAAGCTACTAGCCTTGTGTGTAGCTATTGAGCTAATACTACTAGCTTGAAACACGGCTAGTGTTATTAAGAAACTGAATTTTCTCTTTAGTATGTGAGTAGGGGTCACCACATTGGAGAGTGCAGGTCTCTCAAGACGCTGAGTTCCTCTGTGTAAAAGGAGAGAGCTGGGCGAAGCGATCTCTTTGGCTTTTAGTTAAAAAATGCTGTCATTCCAGTTCAATACAACCAATTCATGCATACATTGTAAGGGTTCAAATTTTGACCTCCAAAAAACAAAATATTATTCTTAAAGAACGTTAAATTATACACCTTCACACCTAGAAAATATGTAAATAATTTAAATATGTAAGTGATGTAAAGTAAATGTGTAAATAATGATGTTCACAAATGGTAATCACGTATAGATGACGTTGTGTTTAGTGCAGCACAGTTATCTTACTGAGAAGAACACGGGGTCCCTGCAGAGGGTTCCGAAGACTGCAAGGAGGTGGTGAAGGACTTGATTAAGAAACAAGACACTGGGTAAAGCTTAAGGAACTGGTATTGTTCAGAAACAAAGACTTAGGGAAGACTTATTAAAAATTACATTCACATTTACAGAGGGTTATTAGAAATGGTGTCCAGATGTCCTTCACGTATTAGAGCACTAGAAACATAGGTTAAAGAGGAAATAAGTTAGATACCGAGAGGCGCTTTCAGAGAGTTTCGTATATTAAATTCTCAAAAGAAATTTAATGGTTTTTAAACATTTCTTGTGCCACATATCATGTTGAAGATACACATATATCAAAACAATAGTCATGGGGCTCCTGGGTGGCTCAGTCAGTTGAGCTCCAACTCTTGATTTTGGCTCAGGTCATGATCCCAGGGTCATGGGATAGAGCCCTGTTGGGGCAGAGCCTGCTTGAGATTCTCTCTCCCTCTCTCTCTGCCCCTCCCCTGCTCATTCTCTCTCTTTCTCTCTCTCAAAATAAATAAAAATTTAAAAAATACAATACTCACATAATATTAAAATATAAACAATTTGGAGTCAGTATTTAATGGATCTTTTAAAATAAGATTAATTGTCAGCTTTCTGATAAGATTCAAGACATCACTTTTGGAGATCCTTTACAACATAATTTTTTTAATTACCAAAGATATATGATGTGCTAGATACAGATATTTATAGAATAAATAATAAGATTAAGGGGATACTTAGCTATAAAACAGTGAAGATGATATTTACAAAGCATGTTACTTACTATTTATAGAATAAAAACAGAATGTGAAGTGTAATATAAAGTTCTCAACATTAGCACGCATCAGAACCACCTAGAGGGGCTTAATCGGGGCTCAATCGGTTAAAACCCCGATTGTTGTGTTCACCCTTGGAGTTTCCGTAGGTCTGGGTTACGGCGTGAGAATGTCCATATCTTAAGTTTTCAGTGAGGCTGCTGCTGGTTCGGGCACCACACCTTGAGAACCACTGATAGAGAACATGGTGTCCTTAGTATTTTTAGAAGTCACCTTTTCATTTCCAGTATAATTTAGTAAGTAGAGTACATGATGAGCTCTAGTAGCCTTTACTTTCAAGCCTGGACGTGGAAGGCACATGCTCTGTACTGTGCGCAGCCCCAGGAAGGCTCTTTGAAACTTCTAGGATGTGTCCCACTGGGGTCTGCCCTAGGCTGGTGGGGCTTCGTACTCCAAAGTTTTTCCCATCTAGTTCTCAGGACTCCCATGCAGATAACTTGAGACAGATTTTATAATAAAAGAAATCTAATTAAATGATTATTTTTAAGTAGACCCCATAGCCACTGTGGGCGCGAACTCACGACTCAGATCAGGCGTGGCCTGCTCCACCGACTGAGCGGGCTAGGCGCCCCTGATCTCGGGATTCTTAAGCCGCATGACGCCATAATAAAAACTCATTCATACTTGTTATTTTATGTACTCTTCATTATTATGCTGTGAAATAGGCATTATTACACCAATTACTGTCCCGGCCCGGCACATAATCGGTCCCCGACACGTAGGTAGACAAATGTTTCACGAATTTTCACCTGCTGTGAGCCAGATGCACAGTTCGCACCCGCGGCAAGACCCAGAAACAGAACAAGCCCGAGCTTGGGGGTTATTGAAGCCAAGAGCGCACAAAACCCGAGGGTGGTCGGGCGAGATCTCCAGGTTCAGTAGAAAGGGAGGCCTTGGGACCCTCAGACGGACAGGGGTGGGTTCTCTCTCCCTCTCTCCCTGCCGAGTCTCAAGTCAGACCCTCCCTAACTGCATAACCCACAGCCCTTGCGGTATGAAAACCCCTAAAAATATCTTGTCCCATCATTTGTTTTCCTAAACAACTCTGTATTTGGAATGAGATTCTGTGTCTTCATACTTTCAACCTGACTTCCCAAAGATCAACCCAGCTTTGTCCTTAACAGTTAACATTATGACCACATCACTGTAAACCACCACTTATTGGTTAATAGAAATAAATAAAAATTTCCTTAGGTAACAGGGGTCCTAAACCCCTTTATCATTCTGCATAAGTAAATCTGACAACACTTTTGAACTGCCTGAAATTAACTACACTATTCCTGATGGAGTGTTTGAGCTCTGGAATCTGACAGGTAGATTCAGATGTAGATCCATGTTCTAGCAGTACAACTTTAGTCAAGTTATTTAACTTTTGTATGCCTGTTTCTTCATCTAGGAGAGATTTTTTCTTTTTTTAAAGAGGATTGGAAGACCCTCATGAGGTCTCCGTCCATACACTTATTTGTTTCTAATGTCTATTTACTTAAGAGAGAGTGCATGGGGGGGGGGGGGGGGAGAGAGAGAAAGAGAGAGAGAGAAAGAGAGAGAATCCCAAGCAGGCTCTGAGCTGTCAGTGCCAAGCCCGACATCCCACAAGCTGTGAGATCATGACCTGAGAGGAAATCAAGAGTCAGATGCTCAACTGGAAGAGCCACCCAGGTACCCCAGGAAATTAATGATTTTAACATGCATTGATTGCAATCCAATATAGTTGTATTCACAGATACACCAGATAATTACAAAATTTACTTAAATATTAATTCATAACCCATTGCAGCCAGTATCGCTTGGTAAGAGGACGTTTACTTAGAGTTGTACAAAGCGTGCCTTCTTGTAATCATGTACATACATCTCTGGGATGATGGTAAACTGGTGACTGGACTAGTGCAGTTATATTGATCTTGTTCAGTGAAATACATGGGGAATGGAATTGAAGGCAGAGATGATTATGAGGTTGAAGGAGTGAGTTATGATTTCTAAACTGAATTGGGAAAGAAGTGAGAACAAGGGAGTGACAGGTTGGTAGAAAAGAGGGAGACAATGCTATATGAGGCGTAAGTGATGAAACCAGAGAACCAAGTGGTTATTAAAAGAATAGTGTAACAGACCCTGATTTCCCAACTGGCGTATTTCTGAATATGACCGTGTGGACACAGGACCTGGTGGCTAAGGTGGAGCGGACAGGAAGGTCCACTGGAGTGGATGGAGTGCAAGTCGTTGTAGGTGTAGCATTTTGAGACAGTGACCTACACGGACACTGAAGATCATGATCTTTTTGTGATGAGCATCCCGTCTCCAGTGCCTTAAACTGGGAATCGCTCCAAAAGCAGAGCTGGAGAGGAAGAGAGGGGACCAAGGACTGAATGCATGTTATCTTTATCCATTATTAACCTGTGACTGAAATTTTATAGATAAAAAATAGTAAATGACAAAATCTTGGTTAGTGTACAGATGTACTCAGAGAACATAAAATCACTCCTCTTCCAATCCACTCATCACAGGAATTTTGTTCTCAGTTTAATGGGAGATGTAAAATATTGAGCAAAGCAACCTCTGCTGTACCCTGAGCCCTGTAACTGGTATCCCCAGCCACAGAGGTTCTAGTTAAGGGACAGCTTCCATTAAAGCCCTAGATTTTCTATCACTTTGGTTCTTGAAAGTTTAAGTTTTTAATGCAGTTTCTGCCCACAGGCTTTGTTTGTGTAGATTGACTATTGGATGTGAGGGAAGAGACTGACAGTAGGGTCCTGGAGAGGCCACAGCACAACACATGGGGCAAGTGATCAATGACAGGTACACAGAACTGTACTCAGATGCCCTCAGAACATCTGAGTACTCAGAACTGTACTCAGATGTACCAGATGCCCTCAACTGGGGGAAGGGCCGACTTTATGTCCACTGGCTCATTTAAGGCTTCAACAGTTGAAGTAGGTGTTATTACTCTGACCCCAATGTTAAATTAAAGAACAGGAAATGAGTAATGCGCCCAACGTGTCATAGCTACTAAATGGAGGAAATGGGATCTGAACTCACATCTCCCTAACTCTAGAAGCTACAAGTTTGTGCTTCAATGGTCTTGACGTTTGGGGCTGGGAACAAGTCCCAGAGGGGATCATGGGTCTACTGACGCAGATCCCTCTGGAGGAAAGTGGGGTCCGGGGCAGTGGGGTGGAATCTGGAGTGCGCAGCCTCCCTTCTGGCCTGCCCGGACCACACCAGGTGATGGGTGATAGCGATCCCTGCTCAGAATTCTCCAGGGCATGTCCTGGCTGGAGGAAGACATTATCTCGCTGCTCAGGAAATTTTTTCTTGCTCAGTCCTATTTACACATCTGTTGCGCTAACATTACAGAAGAAATCATTAAAAAAGCTCGATTTCTCTAGCATGGGCTACTAGCTTTAAAATCAGAGTGATGTTGCACAACCCTGTGAATACACTAAAAATACTGAATTGCTTAAATGGACGGTCTGTATGGTATGCGAATCACATCCCAATAAAGCTGTTTTTTAAAATAGCAGATTGAATGCATTTAAAAGCAGATTTTCATTGCTTTAGAGTGATTTCGATGGCCTCCTCGCATACAGGACACTGCCACAGGAGAAGCAGGCATCCAGAGCCCCCTGTGCCTGGCGGAGGGAAGAATGCGTGTAACCTGAGTTCAGCCCTGATTTTTTTCTGCGGCCCAGGATGTCATGACTAGGTTCCAAGTTTGAATGCAAATTAAGAAAAAAGT